ACCGGTCCTTCCTGCTCATGTACAGGTGCGTCTAAATCCAAATGCGGAATCTGCTCTTCTTGGTCAATCTGGTTTCCATCAGACGCATCGTGCTCCGCTACCTCCTGATGAGCGTCTCCCTAAAAAGTGTAGAAAAGAAAGCTGTGATAAGTAATGGATGGTGATAGTTGCAACAATGTGAATGCACTGGTTGCTAATCTTGATGGGTCACAGTTGCCTCTCAGTATGCAAATGAAAAATAAAAAGTCTGCATGCAAAAAGAGGATTCAACAAAAAAAAGAAATGGACTTGCCCACTAGTAATTACGATTTAGTTGCTAATATGAATGGAAACCAGTTGCATCTCAATGTGCAATTGGGGGGGGGAGTTGCAACATAAATGAGTGTGTGATTGCACAGTGATAAAATAGCTTGGTTGCAACTCAAAACACAGACAGGCACCAGGGACTTACCTCGGATTGGCTTTGTTGCTCACCACCAGAGATTGCAGAGGCATTCCTATTGGCAACTGCATGTCGTGGAGCACGTTCACGGGACGATGATGGAGATTCCAACAAATCCATTATGTCATCCACATCATGCGACTCACCACGTAATGCACGCGGTGCTACAAAGAAAAGAACAATAAAAATAAAAGGAGACAAAAAAATGTGTAAGAAAAAAAGATTTGTGATTCAGAAACTACCAAAGAAATTCATTAAAAAAACTGGTTACATGGCAAATCAGCCTTACTTTGCGGCTGGGAGTGCTCTTCTTCTTGCTATGCAGTACTGCCATCATGCACTGGAGTACTAGGCAAATCATCATGCGGGACAAAATCATCATGCACTGGAGTACTAGGCAAATCATCATGCACTTCTTGACGGTCTTGCATTGAAACATCTACATCAGGGTTTGTGCTCGAGAGGCGCTGTTCACCTTCAGCGTGTCCTAAAGTAGATGCTTGGCCACACTCCGACCAAAGTCTCTTCGGTCCTGAAAAACAACCATTCTTGCCCTTCTTCATCCTCTTCAAGTTCGCTGCAAACTTCTGAGCACGGGCATCATCCAAGAGTTTCTTAATGCTGACATAACACTCATGATGGGCTTTACCCATAAGCTCGTCAGCGCTCCTTGTTAGATTATGAGCCTTCCTCATCATTGATTGAGCCTCGGCAGCACTAGCATCGAAACTCTTCAAAATTTTCTCAGCCTAGCTCTTCTTGCTTCTTCCAACTAAATTGAATAGCTGCTGGCCAAAACTTGAGAAGAAACTCGGATAGTTGAACAAAACATTTTTGCCCATCGTGCTACTAGAAGGAGCAGAAGGTCCAGCAGCGGCTGCAGCAGCAGATGGGGCAAAGAAGGGTGCAAGCTCAGGGGTGGGTGCAGCGGCAGGTGCCAGGATGGGTAAGGGTATGGCAGCAGGTGGAGGAGTGTAGCACGTTCTTGATAAACTCCTCAACTGAAGACAATAAAAAACACAGAGGCACAATGGAGCATGAGTGGAAAAAAACAGATTGCAACTGTAAAAAAGGCAAAGCAAGTTCCAACATGCAAAGCCAAGCAGTTGCAAAACAAATATTTACATGTGAAAAATAGAAATCACCTGGAGGTTGCCAAACTCGACAACTCCACCAGCTACATCTCCCCTACGATCCAACGCTGCTAATTCCTCAATCAATATATTATCGAATAAAGAACAACGAGGTAACATTGCCTGATCTATGTTCAGATTGTGCTGGAGGTGATCAAGATATAGCATCTGCAATTATAATTAAAAACAAACAAAAAAGTAAGCATCCCAATTACAACTCAAAAAAGAAGATGCACCAGAAAAATGCTAAGTTTGGGATAGGGATAATTGCAAAGCTATAAAAGAAAAACTAGTTGCAATGATTCCATATAACCAACAAACCTCAAAACAAAACAAAAAATTGAAACAATAAAAAGAAAAGGCCAGTTGCAACTATAACTCTGCACCAGTTGCAATGATAAATGTAACCCAATTTCATGAATGGGGATAGAAGGAGGAAAAAAGAGAGAATGATTAGATAACTCATGACAAGGAAGATTCCACAACCATTGATGGGTGCGGTTTTCCCCTTTAGAAAAGATTCATGCCTATACAGTCGAGCAGCATGCCGAAGGTCGTCAACAACTGCTTTGCACCAGTTAATTCCACTGATGCAGCGAACATCCGCAGTCCAGATGATATCATCAAGCCTAATGTAGTTGTCGGTGTTTGCAAAAAGCAACGTGCAGAATGCATGCATCAACCAACACCTGACTGCCACATCTCCCTGGAGAGTATGAAACTAGATCTTCTCCTTAATCACCTTGGGAAGTATTTTATTGCCCGTTACACCATGTACCTGAAGACTCAAACTGTTGCGCATCTCCCGTGCTTCTACCATATCCATGTTTGGGGGGGCGTCATTTCCTACTCTATTCAGCATGAACATACACCAAACGACATGCTCATTGATTTCAATAACTTTGCCCATGCCGAGCTCTAGAGACATAGACTCTGGATTGAATTTATCCATGAGCCATATAAGCAGCATCCTGGGCAATGAAGTAGGCTTAGACTCCAACAACCCGCCAAAACCCATTGCACGTAATCTGTCCTTAATTTCATCAGGTGTTGCTTTAACAAGATCAACAAATTTTCCAGGAGAGCAACGAAACGCCACTGCCCTATCCCTCTTAACAGGATCGATATTTGTTATCTGCAGGTTGTGCAAAAAACAAAAACAAAAAAAAACAAATATGATTGCAATACTAAACAAATATAAAATATTCAAACAGAAAATAATCAAAAAAAAAGTACATCAAATTTTTTTACCTTAGCAGTATCTACTGCCTGAGATATGGAACTGCCCTCCCCACGACGCCTCTTGCTATTGGCATGGGGATCAGGCGATGGGATTGTTGCGATTGGACTTGGCTCAAAATCATCATCGACACTAACAAGGGGCTGTGGAGGATCGGAAAGATTGTCATCACTTGGATGGGGCTGTGAAGGAAGAGGAAGCATCAAATTTCTCCTCCTGTGTTGCGTCTTCAAACGAGGGGACGACTGCTGAGGCTCCATTCTAAGCGCTATTATGTATAAAAAAAGATTAGTGTCTGCTTTCAAAACAAAAGATGATAGGGAGTGCAATGAAATAACAATTGCATGCACAGGTTGCAAACAACAAAACTAGATACATGACAAAAAACTAGAGATTCATTAAAGCAACATACGCATAAACAAAATGCTCCAGCACATCAAACAGTAACTAGAAACTACAAATTGCAACATACAGGGGTATTACATTTGCATGTAACCAGGCAGTCCAGTACCATCATATAAATTGCAACATACAGAGCATTAAGTTTGCAACTAAAAAAGGAGCTCCAGAACCATGAAAAAAATGGTAACATACAAGATATTACAATGGCAAACATATATGGAATTACATTTGCAAACTAACAACAACAGAATTGCAATCTACAAAAGAATTGCAACACAAATTGCAACATAAATGGTATTACATTTGCAACTAAGCAAGCAGCCAGTAGCAAGGGAAATAAAACTAGAAAATCAATTTAGGAACAACACAGGATCGGAAAGATCGTCATCACTTGGATGGGGTTGTGAAGGAACAGGAAGCATCAGATTTCTCCTCCTGTGTTGCGTCTTCAAACGAGGGGACGACCGCTGAGGCTCCATCCTAAGTGCTATTATGTATAAAAAAGGTTAGTGTCTGCTTTCAAAACAAAAGATGATAGGGAGTGCAATGAAATAACAATTGCATACACAGGTTGCAAACAACAAAACTAGATACAGGACAAAAAACTAGAGATTCATTAAAGCAACATAAGCATAAACAAAAAGCTCCAGGACATCAAACAATAACTAGAAACTACAAATTGCACCATACAGGGGTATTACATTTGCAACTAACCAGGCAGTCCAGTACCATCATACAAAATTGCAACATACAGAGCATTAAGTTTGCAACTAAAAAAGGAGCTCCAGAACCATGAAAAAATGGTAACATACAGGATATTACAATGGCAACATATATGGAATTACATTTGCAAACTAACGACAACAGAATTACAACGTACAAAAGAATTGCAACACAAATTGCAACATAGATGGTATTACATTTGCCACTAAACAAGCAGCCAGTAGCAAGAGAAATAAAACTAGAAAATCAATTTAGGAACAACACATAGGGGAAAAATCATACAAAAAAACACTACACCACACAGTGCCATCATACAAATTGCAAACATACAGTACCCATCAGACAATTACCAACGAACAGACCATTAAGAGGAACATCCGCATAAAAAGGAACAACAAATTCACAACCTATTCAAAACCCTAGGTACTGATTGGGCGGAATGATGCACACAGGATGAGGGAGAATAAGGGGAATACCTTGAGGAAGATGATCGAAACGTCGACAACAGCGAAACTCACGACAACGCCCCCCGACGACGGCGGTGCTTGCTCAGGACGCTAGTTCCGTGCCAACAATGGCGCAGTTACACGAACCGTGGGGTCGAAGGAAGGGGAACTACCACCGCGAGAGTCTCCTCCGGGTGGACCTTCGAACAACAACGACGGCAAGTTTCTCCGACAATGAGGAGCAAGTGCGCGGCGGAAATCCGAAAACCGCGTGCGGCGAAGCGGCGGAGAAAAACGGAAGTAGAGAGAAAAAACAGAGCAAGACGAAGAGAAGAATTGGCGGAAAAAAGAGGAACTGCTGCCGGAGTTGGTGGGGGCCCGTCAAGACGTGCGAATTAAATTTCAGGTGCAAATGGGTCGGGGAAAACATCGTGAACAGGAACGGGAGCAGAAGCGCGTGGGACGAAAGGCTGATTAATTGGGCGGATCGGCGGCTCGGTCTGCCCAGGCGGGCCGGTTGGCCTGGGTGCCCAGGTGCAAAATAGCAAAACAGTGTGTATATATACACACACTTTGTTTGTGCTCGTGGGTAATAGTAGTCTACACCAGCAGCCATGGCCAAACAGTCTCTTCTCCTCGCCATCCTATTCGTGGCCTGTATGCTGGAGGCCAACTCCAAAATAGCTGCGGCTACGACAGCGTACGACGTTCTGCAGCAGAACAACTTGCCGCAGGGCCTGTTACCGCTTGGCGTCAAGTCATACGTGCTTCGCTCAGGCGGCTCTTTGTGTGCGAACCTCGGTAGGGAGTGCAACTTCCTGGTCATGGTTGGTGGCATGCAGTTCAAGTTCCGGTACGCCAGCAGAGCCAGCGGGGTCATCAAGTCCGGGTCCATCAGTGGCGTGAATGGCGTGCGCCTACAGGTGGAGTTCGCGTGGCTAGGGGTCAGCCAAGTTTGTCGCGCTGGTAACCAGATCACTATCCAGCTGGAGAAGTCCTCGCAGTCTTTCCCTGTCAGCGCTTTTTCACAGAGCCCTTGCTGCACCTGCACCTGAGGAACCTATCCATCATACGGCGATTAGGCAAATTTTGAATTTGCGATGCATCATGCATGTGTGTGATGCTTGTCATATTTCGTAGTACATATCCCTCCGTGTGTTTCTTTGCTCATATGCCTGCTTATTCAGAGTAGAGTGATTATATAATAATAATTTGAGTGCTTTCCAGTAATAATTACAGTCATGTCGTCCCTCTTATCCAATATATCCGCTTGAACGCTACACTACTACAGATTTGGACATCACTGTCGACCTCATCACTGTCGTATTTATGAGAACGACAGTGATGTACCTTCACTGTAGGTTCCGAGATTAAAAATGAGAAAATAATTGGGGCTGGGCTAAAATCGGCAGTGAAGGACCACATCACTGCCGGTTTGTAGCTTGCACCGGCAGTGAGTTTGTGGCCATTTATCACTGTCGGTTCTAACCAAGAGCCAACAGTGATTTGGTGCTATCACTGTCAGTTCGAGCCAACAACCGACGGTGATAAAATAGCAGAACAAAAAATTGGCACCGTCCTCTCTATCCTCCTCTCTTTCATCCCGAGCACAGAGGCGCGCGGTTGGGCCGCTCACTCCATTGTTGCGGCTGCTCTTCACCGTGAAACTAGCTCTTGGATTTGAAAGAATGGCTTGATCTTTTTCTTTAAGGTTAGTAACAAGCATCCACTCATTTAATTTTTGTTGCTTAATTAGCGTTGTTTTGATGGCTACATTGCTTGATTCTCATTCTAGTTCTTTCTCCATTATAGAGAGTAATTTTTCAATTGGACTTTGTGCAAGGCTTGCAAACAAATTGTGGTGAATCCATCATCTAAAAGGTTGGTGTCTTTGAACACATTTAAAATCCTAGCTAATTACATGGTGGTCAATATCATTGTTAGTATGTGATGCAATAATTAGTTCTTAATAAGAGTAGAGTAGATTCTTTTACAATTTTGGTGAGCAAATTAATCCATGTGTCACCTACCAACACATTGTTTGGAGCTATATTGTTGTTCATGGTCATGTCTCTAATTTTAGTCTATTTTTAAAAATTAGTGTCTCCATTTTTATGTGGCATCGAGTAGAATAATTCTTCTTCATTATTGTGCAATAATTGTTTTTTTATAGGGCTACGATTTTCAGTTTATATGGCCGGGGCTACCTATTTCAATTTTTCAATAATTAGTGTACAATAATGTTTTCCAAAAATAGGGTGACTAAATTAAATAAGTATAGAATAAATGGTATTTTCAAGCTACAATTGTTGTTCATGAAGCTCGACTTCTTATTAATTTCTCTGTAATTATTGTCTCAATATTTTTTGCAGAGATGGATCGAGAGTGGATACATCTGTCCCGAACGGACAAGAGGTACATGCATGGCGTTAGCCAGTTTATCACCAATGCTAAAGCCCATGCTAGGAATGGAAACCCTGTCTTCTGCCCATGCAAAGATTGCATGAATCAAAGGAAATGTGGTCAAATTGAGTCTGTATGAATGCACTTGATTACCAGGGGGTTTATGCCAAACTATACGATATGGACTATGCATGGCGAGGTTAGTGTGAATGTTCCGTAGAAAAACAATGATGATGTGGCCATGCCTAACGTAGCCATCCACGATGCTGATGAGGAACCTGGTGTCAACACGGAACCTATGGCCACAGTTAATGATGTGTTTAGGAACTCGCTAGCTGATGACACCGAGGATAACATTGTCATTTCTCACCTGCTATGTAATGTAGAGACCAGATATCTTAGTGAAACACAGGTGAGAAAGCTATAGAAAATGAGACAAGACGGCAAAACACCATTGTATAAGAATTATCCAATGAGCAAATTGGAATCCGACATCATGTTGTTAGAGTTCAAATCGACAAACGGATTAAGTGATAAAGACTTTGACCAGTTGTTAGGTATAATAAGAAAAATGCTCCTAGAAAAAATAAATTGCCAGAAAAGACATACCTGGCCAAGCAAATGATCTGCCCCATTGGCCTCAAGGTTGAAAAAATCCACGCGTGTTCCAATGATTGCATATTATACCATAGACACAAATACATAGACATGGATGCGTGCCCCAAGTGTGAAGCTCCATGCTACATGGAAGAGCCGTTAGATGAGGGTACCATGACCAGAGGAGGTCCCATGAAGGTTGTTTGGTATTTCCCTATAGCTCTTTGGGTGCATAGGCTGTTTGCATGTGCAAAGTAAGCCAAGCTGTTGCGCTGGCATGGCGAAGAGCGTAAGAAAGATACAATGATGAGGCACCCCATCGATGGGAAGGACTGGAGGACAGTCAATACTATGTTCTATAAGAACATCAGTGGAGAGGTAAGGCACCTTTGGTTTGGTTTGAGCACAGATAGGATGAATCCTTTCAACCAGGTTAGAAGCAATCATAGCACCTAGCCAATAACGTGCTGTATATACAACGTTCCACCTTCGCTCTGTATGAAGCGGTCATACATCTAGATGCCACTACTGATCCAAGGGCCAACACAACCTAGGAATGACATCTATGTGTTTCTGGAACCAGTGATCGATGAACTAGTGGAGATATCTGAAAAGGGTGTGGAGGATGTTTAGGACGAGTACAAAAAGGAATATGTCACAATCAAGGCAGTACTTATCGCTACAATCACCGACCTGCAAGGTCGAGGTTGCTTGTCCGGAGAGAAGACAAAAGGCTATACTAGATGTGTCGAGTGCTTGGATGACACCGATGCGGTACATCTGCCAAAGAACTCAATGATAGTTTATATGGGACACCGTAGGTTCCTACCTAAGGATCACCCTTACCGTAGGAACAGAAAAGATTTTGATGGGACTATTGAGAAACGCTTACCTCCAAAATATCGAGACGGGCATGTGATACTTCGAGAAGTCAACAAACTGGAGGTTGTCCTTGGGAAGGGGCACAATGCAGTAGCAACGCCTGATGGGAGTGTCTGGAAGACAAAATTGGTTTTCTAAAAACTACCTTACTAGCCAGTGTTGAGTGTACACTATCTTGATCCCATGCACATTACTAAAAACGTGTGCAGTAACACGCTTAACACCTTGATGGACACCAAGGGGACATCGAAGGATTCACTAGCCACACGCCTGGACATGCAACACTTGGGAATCAGGAAGGAGCTGTATCCTGTGGCGCTAGAGGATGGCCAATTCGAACTTTCAGTTGCGTCGTGGACCTTTAAGAAGGAAGAAAAGCGTGCGCTTTTCTTTCTTCAATGAACTTAAAGTCCCAATGGGCTACTGTGCGAACCTGAAGAGGCTAGTGAACATGAGAGAACTCAAGTTCAACTATGGTTGTATGAAGGCCCATGACTATCATGTCAAGTTGAAGAAGAATCTTTGTCTCAACCATTCTGAGGTGTTAGCCCATATTGCTCCAGTCTCAGATCTACTTGAGCAAATTATTATAGAGCAAAGGCAAGATGCTTCAAAAATTCCGCATATCAAGAAGTTAATTGCCAAAGGGCGTGGTCCTCATTTTAGTGTTGATGATCAAGGTGTGGTGAAGTTCAAGAACCGATTGGTGGTTCCCTCAAGTGATGAGCTTAGGAGAAAAAATTTGGATGAAGCTCACAACTCCAAATTATCCATTCATCCGGGAAGTAACAAGATGTATCATGATTTGCGTCACTTGTATTGGTGGCCAAATATGAAACATGATATTACCAAATACATCTCAGAATGTGACATTTGTGGAAGGGTTAAGGCAGACCATATGTGTACATCTGGATTTCTACAGCGCTTGTCTATCCCTGTTTGGAAATAGGAGGATATTTTCATGGACTTTGTTGTGGGTTTGCCCTGCACAGCAAAGGGGTATGACTCTATTTGCGTCATTATGGATCGCCTCACCAAGTCTGCTTATTTCCTCCCGGTGGATACAAGGTATTCAGCCAAGAAGTATGCTAAGTTGTATTTTGATCGGATTGTAACCTTGCATGGGGTTCCTCTTACCATTGTTTTGGATAGAGGATCAGTTTTTGTCTCTCATTTCTGGGAGCAACTCCAAAAATGTCTTGGTACTCGTCTCCTCAGAAGTTCAGCTTATCATCTGCAAACTGACAATCAGACAGAAAGAGTCAATCAGATACTTGAAGACATGTTGAGAGCTTGTGCCATTTCTTCTCTAGAAAAATGGGACGAATGCTTAACTTTAGCCGAGTTTTCCTATAACAATAGCTATCAAGAGAGCATTCGAATGGCACCGTTCGAGGCCCTATATGGTAAGAAATGTAGGACACCTCTTAACTCGGTTAAAGTGGGTGACCGTGGTTACTTTGGACCTAATTTTATCAAAGAAGCAAGAGAATAGGTCAGTTTTATTCAGAGTCATTTGAGAGCGGCTCAGAACCGTCAGAAAGCTTATGCGTACAAGAAGGGAAGGTCCTTGTAGTTTGAAATTGGTGACCATGTGTACCTGTAGGTATCCCCGATGAGAGGTGTTCATCGGTTCGGAGTCCATGGAAAGTTAGCTTCTCGTTATGTCATACCTTATAAAGTTTTGGAACGATGTGGTTCGGTTGCTTATCGTCTCCAACTTTCGAGTATTTTGTCAGCAGTATATAATGTCTTTCATGTTTTCCAATTAAAGAAGTGTTTACGAGTTCTTGAGGAAGTGGTGGAAATTGAAGGAATCCCTCTCCAACTTGATCTTTCTTATATTGAGCATCATGTCAAAATCTTGGATGAAAAAGAGAGAGTTACTAGAAACAAAGTGGTGAAATTTTATAAAGTCCAGTGTCAAAATCATTCGGAGGAAGAAGCAACTTGGGAGCAGGAGAGTTATATTCTGAAGCATTTTCCCCATCTTCTCTCCGGTGTGCCGAGGTAATAGTTCATGTTAAAAGGTCACTCTTACCCTTTTTCCTACACTAGGCACTCTCATGAAATCTCGGGACGAGATTTTGTTTTAGGGGGGAGAGTTGTAACACTCTCGGTGTTACACCCTAAATCATTTACTAAAACATGTCATGAGCATCATGTTTATGTG